TTCAATTCTAATCATATTATTATACAATTAAATTCAGAAAAAATATAAAATCTAAATAAGTACAATTTATGATGCATAGTATGCTATAATTTCTGTAAGATAAACTTCAGGATAATATCAGCGACTTTTCTCGTCCTCCCTTGACATAAAGTCATAACCTTGGGGAATCAGGTGCACATATTATCGTTGGTTATGAAATTATCAAAACTTATTTTGACCCTTTACAGAACTTCAYAGAACTTTACACTATTTAAATAATTTGTAATAGACCAAGATTAGTGTCCCAAATATCATTGAATATTTCACTATACAATATAATATATATATATACACTTGATGAAAATCAAAAACTGTCTGATTAATTCTGATAGTTGAAACAACATGAAAAAGAACAGCCGTTAAGAAAATTTCTTAAAGCTATACTGACGGAACAAACACGGCTACTCAGTCATTATGAGTGCCGTTGATAACTTTTACCCCACTCAGAACACGTAGTATTAGAACCTCATTAGATTTCAGCGTTTCACCAATAATAACTTTGAGTTTTGTAAAGATATTTTCAAGCCACATTTTCAGAAGATTATGAATCTTGGATATATGCACCATATAGGTAGATGCTCACTAGTGACTAGTCACATACACGTATATTATAATATTATTTAAAGCAAATTCTACAAAAAAAACTGAGTCGTTGTGGGACGCCTGGCACCATTTTTTTGTAATAATGTTAAAAATAGATGGTGAATAAGATGACTATGAAATAACTTCTAAATTAATGTCATAAGACTATTTTGTTTTTTATTTGCATAGAAGAACTTAAAAGATTTACAAAGACATACAACAATATACAAAGTAATAATGCAACAACTCTAATCAATATCATCTGTTACTTCGTCAATTATTTCTGTGAMAGTAGCAGTTAATGCTTCTAATGGTACAATTACTGGTATCAATGTAAGAATTGGTTGATGATAACTGAAATATGCTACAAAAGTACGTGACATAACATTATAAACGTACCTTGTAACTACTCCATCTATAGCAGTTCCATATCTAGTTGTTGCTTCTCTTGAATCGTTTTATTTTTTATATTATTAACAAAAAAACTAAATTTTTTTTTGAAGGAATGTAATGAATAGTAATGAATTGTCAATAGCAAAATTTATATTAAAATCTCCTGCTAAAATAAATGGTAATTTATCCAAATTCTCTTTTAAAACTTTAAAAGCATCGATATTTTGTGACTATATGGAAGTAACCACCGATGTAAAAATGCAATAATATTKTTAATTTTTTGATTGGGTGATATGTATACAATGACCATGAGAAATTCTCTTTCATCATCCATAACAATTAAAGTAGGTTGCAAGTAGTCGCCTACTTGACTTACGTTAATTTCTGTATAATTTTGTACCATAAGATCTATATTAGTGGTCAAAACGTGAGAAATATTCGAGCTCTGATATATATGGAAACTCCAGCGACTCTAACATTTTTTAAATTTAAAGTGAACAATATAATTAAAATTTGGCAATTTGACTGATTTATCATCAGAAAGCCATSTTTCAGATAACAACAAGAAGTTACTTTTCWGAGAAATAGAATCATTTAAATCTTAARCATGCTCGTTGAGACTTTGTCAGTTCAGAGTATAAATGGTCAATCCTTCTCTTGATGTTATAAATTTAGTAATATCTGTTTGTGAAGTAGTAAATCTGTTTAGTAATAATTTTTTGAACTCTTCTTGCAAAGATACAATCRACGGATCGACTCGTCTTCCATTTTTTTCAGCTCAGTACCAAAAATAATTCTGTATGGATCAAARAAAAGCCAAATTAAACTCGATGAAATTATTKATATAGTCTTCAGTCTTTATTTGTTCTTAACTTTGGTATCTGCACGAATGTGTTTGAATGTCAAACAGTCACGAACGCGCAATCTCATTATTTTTGTAGCTACCTATATACAACAAATGATATGGAGTAACTCATCGGCGATCAGAACGTCGCAGTTCGCTCGAAGTTATTATGAATAGTGTCCCTTACTGCATGCTTAAATTTTCTAAATTTTCCTAGATAAATGCTTGGAAATGAAAACTCTTCAGCATGTTCATCGAACAACAGGCTCTGCGGAATATTATGTTCTCCCAATGCTAGTCTCAAATATTTCTCTTCGTTCCATAATAATGTTTGTTGTTGAGCAGTAAGACTTTCTTCAATATCAATATTTTCACTAAAATCATCAATATTATTATTGAAATATTTGGAATATATTGATTGAAAAATTATGTATCGATTGTAATCTGATAATGTTTATATAAAGGTGCATCAAGTAAATACTGCAGCCACATTTTTATAGAGCTAATATTGATTAAACCATGAACGAATCTACTTTTGTAAATTATTTTCTTCTGTAAATGTATATAAACGCAATGTTCATAATTAATATTGCTTGGAAATTTTCGAATCATTGTGTTCACACTAACTGAAACGTTGATAATTTTTCCATATATGCCAAATTTTTTTTATTAGCGGGTCTGTATAACTTATAAAATTCTAGCCYCCTCCCAAAAAAAATCGACTCTAGTTGCACCTATAATAATATTGTACAAGTATCTTGTAATTTTTAAATATAATTGTTTTCCACTAGTGGAAGGTTATTTTGTATTAGTCAACATTTTTACTGTCTACTGACCTATAGAATTATGTWGATCATRCATAATTATATGCTTAATGCGTCGTATATAATACCAGGTAAGTACATAGCGGTATAAGCATATTATTATCATTTTTGAGATATTCAAAATTTATAATGCAAAGTTGAAAAATGTAGATTATAAACACAAATGAAAAAATTAATAATGAAAATTAAATAACTACAGACGTAGATATATTTTATATCATAGCAGTAATGATTATTATAAAAGCAGACTTTGTTTTAACTATTGAATTTGATCATAAAAAAAGTTTATTTGATGTATAGTTTTGGATTACCAAGATCCAGTTTTCAAATAATTTTCGGTAAAACCGGAATGATTCATTAAACGATTTGGTCTAATCTGAATAGTATTAGAACGTAGGTGCATTCCTCTGGTGAATTCTACCACACATACGTCYTGTGCATGCCTTACACAAAATTACCTATTTAGTATTTCCTGCTGTTGTTTTCTGGGTATATTTTAGCAGTATTATTCACTTAATAATAATATTGTATAGCACGTTTACATGTATCAATTGATTAATAATGTTAATAGAATTTAAAAATTAATATTATCAGTAGTACATTTTATTTATTATTTGTCCGTACATACTTTGTACTCGCGAGTCGCAAAGTATCGAGTTTGAAACTAACTACATTAATGTGCATTACTGTAACTACGAAACTTGTTAAATTATTAATTCTCGCCTAAACCCACATTGTTGGAAATTCTAATCCAGTTATAATCTAAGAGCCTATCCTGTATCAAATTTGCCACGAAAAACTGAAATAAAAATATTTAATTAGTAGATTATAATAGAAAGACTATTTTGTGCACAAGAAACTTTAGATTGGTAAGCTATACTTTCATAATTACTGAAGAGTCTGAATGAAAAAGAAAAAAAAATGAGAGGTAGTAACAATATTATTTGTGGTTATAATATTATATCATACTATTATAGGTACATGATTTCACTACTATTATAATTTCAACACGAACATATTTAAATCACAATTGTGTTAAAATTAAAATAAATGCCAACCACCGGTCAATAAGTTACGCAATTTTTCATCCAATGGTCGGTATTATAATATTTCTGTTAAAATATTATTATTATTATTATTATTATTATTATTATTATATTATTATATATCTAAATATAACATGTTATAGTTCTAAGTAACGTTTTGCATTATAGTAATAATATTATTATGTCTTTAGGTAACGGTGAAATGCGTACACAACGACTCACGTTGTTTCCGAGAAACTATAAACCAACAGGAGTTTATCGTTCATGAAAACACGTGTGGAAAAAAAAAGGAGGAAAGCTAGAGTATGAATACAGTGTTGTACGTAACTGCGGTGCCTCTGATTTGCCACCCTTGCCATTGTGATATAGTATGATCCATCAGTGGCCAGTTAAGACATCACGACATGAGTGAATCATACAACATCACAACGACACCGGATGATCAAGACACGTTATGTTTGAATAATGGTGGGCAAAATCGAGCGCATGAGAAATGTAACCGTCGTGGGTTCTGCAACACCATAAACCAAACGGTTTAAAAATAATAATAATAATAATAATAATAATAACGATTTGATACTATGGATTAATAATTGCACTGCACCGTTTTTTTGTATTTGTTAACAGTACTTACGGCCACTTATATTTTTTCTCTTAAAACGGCTACCTACACGTAGGTATATATAGATAGGTTAAGTAGATATTATGTACCCAGCACGCGATATAAATATCCCGTCCACATGATACGCGCTAAAATCAATTTTATAATACTATATTATAATAATATCATTACATCTATACAGTGTCATACTAGAAGTTTTTTACTCACGTGTGTCACGAAAAGAGTTGTACTGGCCGTAAGCACTAGCTGATCAGCCACTCGAAGACGATGCTGGCGCAGAGCCGAACAATGATCTTTTCGCTCGTCCTTATTGGACGTGTGGCGACAGTGAACCGGTTCGTGGTGGTTTTTTGGAGACGGGGGTGCAAAAGAACGTGCAAAACAATGAATATGGCTAGAGGGGAAAACGTTCACGAATTGATCACGTGAAAGTAATACGCTTGGTGCAAGAATATGCGAAAGAGTTCAGCGAGGTTGACAGTCGATAGGAAAGGAAAAAAGTCGACAAGACTATCGGAATAGATTTGTGTTCTTGGCAGACAATCAGACGTAGTCACCCGGGAACGGATAGTATGCCGTGCAAGTACGGTGATCGAGCTGAAGACGCGAACAGGCGGACGAACGATCGAACGAACGGACAGCGTGGAAGCGGACAGACGACTACTACGGCCTGCTGGCGTGACGGGCGGCGGACGTGACGCGGCGCGCGCGGTCGTCGTCGCGTTCGTACTTTCCCTCCATCACCATCCACCCTCCATCCACGACGGTGGACGACGATTGGGCGACGTCGGCCGATCGCGCGATGGGTGCGTGTGGTTCGGTTGAACGGTGGCGGGGGTGTACACACGCGCGGACTTTCCACTATGAAAACAGCGGTGGCGGCGGCGTGCGTATAATATACCATCGTTAGAGCGACGGCGCAGGCGGCGACCCTTACGACGAGCTTTACTACGGTGGTTTACGTACGATCACCACCACACCGCTGACCCACCTCACCCACCCGTGTGAAAGYACGCGTGCACGCAACGTCCACCACCAGCCTACACGTCCTTCACCCACCCGCTGACAATTTCTCGTAAGCTTTTACACACACTCACACTACCGACGCTATGCGCCGCGGTCGAGGACAGCGCGTCGTTATTGCTATACAACCACCAAACCGTGTAATATAATAAAATAATATGATTTTAGGCGTATKATGTGTTGTTCGTGGTACAAACATGTACTATACTCACACAAACCAACATTAGTATATCAATATCGCATAATGTTGATGTACAGTTATAGTTGTTTCGATTAATTTCAAATTAATATGTTACACAAAGTACGTAAAAATATGCCACTAAAGTAGAGCTCAGGTGAAAAACTGTAGACAAATATATATATATATATACATATAGAACTAATGTCTGAGGTCTAGAATGAAAAGGTTCTAAATCGTTTTTATGAAATTGTTCAGGAGAGCAATTTTAAGGTTCGAGTTCAAATATTTTACTCCTTAAACAACATTTTGTTAAAATAAAGTTTTGAGGCATGTAGCAACTTGTATAGTTTAATTCACAATATTATAATAATAATTTGCTGTATTGGTTGGTATTAAAATTAATAAAATACAAATTATAAATTGTTTAGTATGAAAAGGTTCTACAATTTAGAACCTTTTCATCCTAAAGAAAAAAAAAATTAATTGGAACTTTTTCATTCTTATTTATTATTTTTATTATTGTTAGCTGAATCCTTTTCAGAATATTGCTTTCTCATTGCTACCAACCTTCTAACACAAAACAATGTACCTAATAACTATGAAACACCGAAATCTATATCTCAATCGTACAATTCTGTTGAATAGGTAAGAATAATTATTCTGTACTGCTTAGTATAATATTTATTAATTTATAGATTGTATTATTTACTTATATAACTAACTCTGGAGGGAAAATGTAGTACATTTAGATCTTAAATTGTATCTAATATTTTAATT